GTCTCTTATGCAAGATAAATTTCTATCTAGCAGGGAATGAATTTGTCTGGTTTGCCACTGTCACATAACAATGCCTTTGAAATGCCTTTCAGTTGGTTACACCTTATTTAGGTTTGATATCTAGATTACCTTTAGCTTATCAACTGCTGATAACATGCAAATACATACCTTTCAGGCAGACACTCACCTCTGAGTGTACATGATTTTAATACATCACTTTCTGGGATATATATTGGTAGAACAGTTTGCAGCCTGTAGATGAGGATACTAAGGGAAGGCAGTTAATGGTTCTTTAAAAAGGACAGGATGCGTAGCAAACAAAAGTTTGGAACAGCATATTAAAAATAAAGGATCCTTAGATATGATGTGCTGAGTTTTTGGGGACTTAAGACAGTGAAGGATAGGGACATTTGCAGATCTAAGGACACGTAGTGACAGTTTACCAGGGAGTATATTTTCTCCTGGTCTTATTTGACCAGCAGCTCTAATTTTATAATTATAAACCTTCTACCACAATAGTGCTGCGAAATAAAACAGGTAAGATAATATTACTGCATGTGGGTGTCAAAAAGTTTAAAAAATAAGAAGAGAGAAAAGAAGAAGAACTGTTGGAGATGGAAAGGATAAGGAACCCAGAGGAAGAAGGTGCAAACAAGTGTAAATAAATGGTTAGAAATCAGCTCATGCTGTTTTCAGGGAAGAAGAATTTATAATATTTTTATGTCCTACAGTAAATAAACACCCTGTGGAAGTTCCAAAATGTAAATATTGTTATTAGAATACATTTATTTATTTACCAAGGTAATAATATTTTATGTTTTACAAACATGAATGAAAATGAACTCCTAGATGTAAGAAAAGTGCATTCAAAATTGAACAGTATCAGGAGAACGTGAAATTCAGAGAATCCTTGTTCTGGTGTGGTTTTTCTTTGTGGAGAGTATAAGAAGAAACAATTCAAGGATTTATAAAATTGAGTTTTTGGGGACGCTGAAGTCATAGCACATTGTGTTTTAACTGGAATAGACAGAGGCTGCCCATAGCATTTACCTGCAAACAATTCTAATGTGATTCCAAAGAGAAAACCTGCACTCATTTCATGGGGGACAGTGTACTTGCCATCGTGTCCTAATGATTTAATAATTACTTTTCAAAATCTCAAATGTAGGCTCTTAGATGGGAGTCTGCTTGTAAGTACCTGAATAATTGAGCTTGTGTTGCACATTACCCGCAAACTTTTCTTATAAGCTAAAAAATCCTTTTTCGTGACAAGAATAATGCAATAATCTAGTTTTATCCTGCACTGTCCAGTTGTTCTACTATAACCTCCAAAATAGTTTGGAGTTGTGTTAAAATCAAATTTTTAGTGTGATCTGTCATTTCAAAAAGTTTTCAAATTCATTCTGGCCTGGTGGGAATGACATTACCTCCTTATTTGTGATAATGTAGAACAGCATTTGATGGCATTATTTTGATCAGTAATGCTTATGTTCCTAGGTCTGAAAGGGTTCATAAAAGTTAGAGAAGAGGCTCTGTTAGAGTTCAGTGTTACAGTTTCTTTGCTTCACTTTGCTAAGGCTGGTTCTTTTGTTTGGAGCCATTTTACCTCTTTCAGTGGTACTGCCTGAAGTTATTACTTAGGTTTCCTGCTTCAGCGTTACACTTTTCAGGTCACTGCAATGTGTCATAGAAACAAGTCCATTAAGATGAATGATGTGTGTTGTAATTTCATTAGTCTCATCAATAATGTATTGCAGTTTTCTGTTTGGGAGTCTCTTTTTGTTTTGTGTGTGTCAGACTGACTGTGTGAATTATATTTAGAAGATCAAAATAGTTAAAGATGAAGGTAGATACTTAAGCAATTAGACCAGAGACTGGAATTGTTGTTTTAGAGGTGTAGGCTACAAAACCAATTTGTGTTAAGGAATGTTTAAGTAATTGAATTTCACAGTATAAATTAAAGTCTCTTGCTATCATTATGGATGTTGTGGGCACTTAGTGATATCTTGTGCCAGTGAAATGGCTGGGGTTTATTTTTCAGTCCCTGTGTAATCTTTAATGAAAACACTTTTCTGACTTGTAAAGGCTTGGAAGTAATAAACTGGACTGACCAATTTTTTTTTTCATTTGATGAAGCTTGGACGGAGATAAGAAGTAAACTTTTATAAATCGTTTCTCATGAACATGCATAAAGAGAGAAATCATTTTATGCAACAAAGGAGTGGCATGGCTTGCCAAGCAAAGATAAGTAATTGGAAAATATAAGATCCCAGTGAGAACTCCTAGCAGAAAATTCAAAAAAACAGGTGCTGTATAATGTTACTTACTATTATTTGCATACATAAAAACAAAAAGTAGGTTCTGTCATACCATGCAATCAGCTGTGCTGAAGTCATATTACTATAGCAAAAGTTAAGATATTATTTAAACTATTACAGCAAACTGCTTGTCTCTGTCATTCTTCAAACCACTAAGCTTTTCTCATCAGACACTAATTTGCACCACAGTCAGGTGGGCTGGGCTAGGAATAACTGTCTTTTACAGTGGATCACCTGCCTGTGCCTTTACTGTGGAATCACTTGTGATTCCAAAATCACAGCAGTAAATTTAAACTGTATTAACATCCTTATGTGTCAAGGCAAACCATCTTTTTAGCCTGTGTGCCTTGTTTGGAGCACATTTGAAGATGGGGCAGGAGAAGATCTGTTCCTATTCACCACAAATGTCTCAGCAGTCCCCAAAAGTTCCAATGTTCAGGCCATCCACTCTTTTAGAGTCTGATTTCTAGCAGTCTAAGTTACTGTTACTCTGCTGATGGTTATCATCCTCTGATGTTTTTATTAGTTGACATTACCCCAATAAAGGAATAGAGAAATCCTAATATAGATCAGGGAACCAGTATTATAGGCATTTGGAGTAGAATTCCAGCTCAGTCAAACTCTCCCAGCCACCAGCAACCAGATCTCTCCTAAGAGTAGAAAGTAATGTGATTATTTCTAGCACTGACCTTGCTCTTCAAGGCGTTCGAGAGGTTGTGAACAGGCTTCTTTCTCCCTATGAACTACAGGAACTATAGAGGAGAGTTCTTCAAAAGCCTGGTTCTGCTTGCACTGATCTCAGCAGGAGTCCCTGAACTGATTTCAGGGGGAGCAAAATCAATCCCTGCTTTGAAAAATACGGTATTTTCCATAGCACAGCCTATTCTTAAAAGCCAACCAACCAGGAATTTATCTGGTTCTCAAAATACAGAGTTTTCATTTACTATATCACAGGGACTGCTTTGGGACAGTCCACGGCATAACTTGAGTCACCTTTGAGTGTAAGATGCATCATAGTGTGAGGAACAGCAACATCAGCTCAGAGCTGAGGAACAGCAGTGCGAGCTGAGGAAGTTATTGCCACATCTGCCTGTTAACAGTCCTCCTGATGGAAATTCCTGACCCTGCTGAGCTGTTCCTGGAAGTGCTTCTAACCTGTTTCAGTCTGAATGATGTAGGTCAGTGATGACCTGTTGTTTAAACTGTGTAAGCTGTCCTGCTGCTGCAGTGTTGGATTCAACCCCTTTCCCTCCTCTGTTTAAAGCTGCAATGTATTGCATTGCAGAACCCTTGAAATGGATGTATTGCTACCAGGGGATGAAAAGCTCGCCTTCCCTATTGCACATTGCTGGGTTTCCTATGTTTTCCCAGCATTGTCTTATGTGAGATGTAAAATTGTCTTATGAGGACAGGAGTTATTTCCTATCTTTGAAAAACACTGCCTCTCATTCAAAACATTTTTTTTTTTGACTGAAAAACATGGCAGAAGATTGTAGGTGTTCTGTGCTGTCATTTATAGGGTTACTTTGTTACCTTTCCCCCTGGCAGACTGGCAGTTAGGTGATTCCTATAATAATAAGCTGCCCTTTTGTGGTCATCTGTCTTGTAGGTACTTGGCAGTTTTATTACTAATTTGGAGTTGCCATTTGGCCTGTTCTGTCACGCAATTAGGTTACTAACAAAGTATGTAAGTTGTCTTGTTTCTTGCTGGTTTCATTCCATGAATCAACTTCTCCCCTGCCCTGAACACCTGCCTTGTATTTAAGGGTAAGGTCCTGCACCAAATCACTGTAGTTTTCCTGTTTCAAATTTCACTCATTTCTGTTTACAGTCAAAGGAGCTCCTGGGTGGAGATTTATGATATTTACATGCTCTTCTAATTAAAATAATGATTACACCTGGTTTTGGATAACATTTATAGCCTGCTTCAAAGAGTCTCATTAAAATCACTGACTAGCTTTGAATTCTGAGCCTTCCACACCTCATACAGATAACATTTCCAAGGGATCAGACAACACTCTTGCATGTGTTTTTCTATAAACCATTAAAAAGTTTTTCAGATATTCTAGGAAAACACAGGTTTTGTTTCACAAGGGTATAGCTGTGTCTGCTGTTTATTTCCTTCCTCGAGTGTGTGACGTTAAAGATGGGTTGCTCTTGTTCTGATGCCACAAAGGATTATTGATGAAATAAAGGCTCTGCTGAAGGCAATGAGAGTTTCACCATTGACTTCAGTGTAGCTGGAATTTCACCTCTGAAGTGGGAAATAAATAACAGGAGCAGACAGGAAAAACAACAAGCCCAAACCTGTGCTGAGGGTTCACAGCAATAATCAAACTTTTTTTTTAGAGGGGAATAAATGGAATCCAGCTGAGACGCAAAATCCTTCATGAGGGATGTGATAGGTGCAAGCTCATGCTTTTGAATAAAATCTTGAAAGGTCAAAGAAGAATGTGAGATTTCTTTGATGGATTTAGTGACTGTTTCAATGTATGTACACGTAGTTCAGTGAACAAGGTATAATAAATATGCAGTTCTCTTTCACTTTGCCATGGGTCAGGTTTACTGTGCATAATATGTATCATCCATAAAGTGTGGCTGATACTTGCGGGATTTCTTGATGGCTTCTGATGAACTGTTTTGAGTAAAAAGTTTACCATTCTCTCCACTCTTCTCTTCTAGAAATATTCTTTACAGACTGGATGAAAGGACCAGCCAGTTTTCAGTACTGCTGGAGGCACTGGAGCACTGCAAACTGCATCAGTCAAATGAGACCATTCAAGCAGCCTTGTCAGAGGTGCTGAACAGCATCAATTCAGCTCAGGTTTACTTCAAAGCAGGACTTGATGTGTTTGAGACTACCTTAGCTGGAAAGAAATGAGAGGATTCTCTACATTCTAAGACATTTGTTTACAACTTGCTAAACAAAAGTTCGACTTGGACCAGAATTGCTCTGAGGATGACACATTTCTCAGCTTTTCCTTCAGTTGTCGCTTAAAGGTACCGCGGAGCGTGGTTTTATAAATATAAAACAGTCTTTTGCACTGTTCACAGTATATCTCAAATGTCTATTCCTGAATGTACAAAACATGAGAGGGAATAACACTTAAGATAGGATTTTTTGGAAGGACATCTGCTGTATTTTTATATGTAAAATATGTTTTTATGACTCAGATCTCAATCTTGCGAAGTACCAAGCACATCCTGCAACGCGCTGAAGACCTGGTTCTGAGACACCCCAGGTGTATACCTGGGTGAGTTTTCCATCCCTGCTCTGTCAGAAAAATCTGACTTAAGTATACTCTTGTGTTTCTTAACTTCTTCAGCAAGCTCATCTTCTTCCTTACTCCGTTCATAGTAAGTAGTTGAAGGATGTGGCATTTCCTCAGTTGTCCAGCACCAGAGTAAAAATGCACAAAACACCTTTACCAGTGCAATCCAACATCTTTACTCCTGTGGAACAATAAATACCTCAATTCTGAGAATACAGATAAACTTTGATTATTCCATTTCTGTATGAAAATAAAGAGTTGTTTTCTCTAATGTTTCTTGGAGAGAAAATTTTTGCGATGGTTTCAAATGATTTGAAAAGTTTGAATCAACAGTTACACTTGCACAAGAATACTTTCAGTCTTTATTTTAAATAAAAGAACTGCCTAGTCTTATAAGGCTACAGACCTTATAAGCTTATACATTACCAAAACAGCCCACTTCAAGGTCTCTCTAAATTTCCAGAGAGCTTTAAATGAAAACAAGACCTCCAAGTCCTGGAAACAGTTTTGGGATTCCATCACTCGGACGTACCACCCCACTATTCCAGGCCTGCCATATAGCACCTGGATTGTTGTCAAAAAGCACAAGCAAAACATAAATGCTGTAGAACCTGCTGTAGAACCAGGGATTCCACTCTGGAGGCACAAGCTGGTGAAGCATGTTGCAGGGGTAAAACTCAGAGCTGCTTTGCACTGGGGGAACCCTGTACAAAGGCTCTAATGATACCATTGCTTCTTGGCCAAAGTAATCTGTGAATGAAAGGATCAGGAGGTTCAGTGTCCTCTGAGGGGATATACACATTTGAGAACTGCAGGTCTTAATAATGTAAACAATGGAAATAGTTAAGCCCTATTGGGTTTAGAGTTTTACAATCTCAGATGATTCTGGGGTTAGAGCTTAAAAAATTAATTTTATATAGATACTTAGAATTGAAATATAATTTATTTAATGGAAATGTTAAATGTATTGTTACCCATTTTGCCATGGAAATTATTAAAGGAACATTTCAGGTTGCTATAAAAATGGAAAAAGTGTCTGTATTAATGTCTAAAAATTGCCTTCTGGAAAATTTCAAAGTGCACAACTTGATGAAAGACTTTTGAAAGTTCACGTAGCAAGCAATAAGAGTTGTTTACAGGTCTGGGTTTCTCTTTCCAAAGTCATTGGCAAACAGGCCTCTATAAGCAATGACCCACAACTGGGTACGTGTATCTGTGCATTTCTTTGCAAGTTATTATCTTATAATGGGCAAACCCCCCCAGGTCTTACCAGAGGCAGAGCTGGGCAGTTGTACAGCTACCACTGCAGTGGGTATATGTTCAACACCAGTCAGCGTGACTGCATGAACTTAGACATGATTATCTTCTATCTTTCCTTGGCATCTGGTAAGCAAGAGTTAATGATGATTTTTCTGCTACCAATTCTGTTTACTGCAGAGAGAATTTGACTTCTGAAGAGTAACATATTTTATGATGTTTATTCATCCCCTTCTTTGCATACTTTTGATTATTGTAATACTTAAGTGGTTGGAATATCCACCTTTGAGTTGTGTGTTTATTTTTTGATAGAATTTGGGGAGGTCCTGTTCATGCTGCATTTGAATGATATTTGTAAGAATGACTGTTCTTCTAACAGTTCATGTAGTCAAATATTTTCCTTCATGTTGACTCACTGTGGAGCCAAAGCCTGTGGTCTTAAAAGATATAGTGTCAGGTACCATTAGGAGAACAAAAATAGAGATTAACACCTTCTTTGTCAGGTAAATTTAACAACTGCTTCCTCATCCTTAAAATTTATGTTTCACCAAACCCACGTCTAATGTAACCAAAGTGTACTCATGCAAAATCAGTGAAATCTGCTGGGAGGAGTATCCCTCATGTATAATTTCTCAACCATGTAATTCCTCACTAAAACATTTATCTTGTTTTCTCACAATGTCGTTCTATAACAACTTTTAAAATAGCAGACTTCAAAGTACCCCACCAAGAAAGCACTGCTGTTGTAAATGCCTTTCTATTCTAGAGACATTCCGATGTTCTTGTTGGTGAGATTAATCAGATGAGCTATTTAGGGACTTAAATGCATTGATTTCAATGTCATCTCACACATGTATATATCTTTTGTAGGCTTTTTTTTCAGTGTTCAGATCTTACATATAAGTGAGTGCTCAGTGATAATATTTGTACCATTATAGCTTTGGAAGAAGCACTTTTGAGCCATATCCTTCCATTGATTTTTAAATCCTACCTATTGACTTCAAAGAATTTATGGCAAGTTAAGGTCCTAAATACTGTGTGTGTTTCTAGCATAGAGTTTTTGCCCAGCCAGCTGTGGAACATCAGCTAAAGGGAGGTGTTAGTAAATCATAGCACCTTATCCAGATTGACTTCATTCCTATGTTGTATTGAAATAAATAAAGGAGTGCCCTTAAAGGCAGAATTATCTCTGCAAATTGCCTGAATGATGCTAAAAATTTATTACCTTTTCAGAAACATCAATTGCCAGAGACAGTATAACAAATACATTGATTGCTAGTTAATCTAGAGTCATGCTTGCAATGACCAGAAAATCCCTGCAGCTTCCAATATTTGTATGTTGAGACAGTTGATAATAAAAAGCTAATAAGATTTTATTAGTGCATATTTTAAAGAGTCCATAAAGAAGCTAAAGTACAATCAACTCAGATGAATAAAAAGTACATGAGGGCTGGATTTTGAGTACTAACCTTAAAAAAGGCAGTGAATTGTTTTTATCATGCACGAAAAACTGTACCTGAGTGAATAGGAGAGCACACAATTGCCTTATATCTTAAAAACATTGTATAAACCTTAATTTACTTGCAGTGATATGATACACCTACATAAACATAAATGTAAATAATAACTACATGAGAAAATTAGCAAACACTTTGCACTGCTTCACTTACCTTTTAGGAAAGTATTTCAGTCTAGAGATGTGAAAAAAGACACTGCAGCTGACCTCAGTTCTTGCAACAGCAGGTGGGGAAAGGTTAAATCTCAGATATCACAGGAGGAACCACTGGAGGTCACCTAGTCCAACCTCCCTGCTCAAGCAGGGTCACCTAAAGACAGCTACCGAGGAGGGACTATGTTCAGATTGCTTTTGAACATCTTCCAAGGATGGAGATTCCACAACCTCTTGGGGCAATCTGTGCATGGTCACCCTCAGAGAGAGTGTTTTATCTTTCTGTAGATACAGTTCCTCCAAATCTCTTCCTATATTTCTTAGTTGTTAAATTATTGTAATTAGTTTAATTGCAAGCATTCAGAAGATAACCAGCATTTCATTTAGTGAAAACTCTTGGCAAAGGTCTCTAGGATTTCACAGTTGATATGTTAGAAAGTTGGTATGAGATTTGTCCTTCAAGATGTGGAGTTTACTTTTAAGATCTAGAAACTAATATCTTTCTTTTGAGCTCTTTGTGTACAGTCCCTGTCCCCATTTACAGGATTTCTGTATAACTTAGGATACTGATGGAGAGCAAAGGACACATTAGAAAATGCAGGGAGGAAAATTACCCGTCAGCACATGCGTAACTATGTGCTATGAATGCTTCTACTTTAACCAAACTTTGGGAGCTCAGTGCAATTCTATGGTTTGTGTTATGCAGAAAGGCAGGCAGGATAATGGTATGGGTCATTCTGGCTTTAAAAGTTATTAAATGCTATAAACATTGTTGTGTCTGGGCCTCTGTTCTCAAGGGAGCAGTTAAGATTTTCCTCAAAAGCCTTGTGCTGGAAGCTGTTATCTGTGTCACTCAGAAGTGGGTACCTCTGACATTACGGTACGTTATTGTTCCTATCTCAGGAAACAAGCGCAGTATGGAAGATGTTCTTTCCCTTTGGCACTCAGTAACATTTCAGCAGTATTCTGCCAATCCCAGAAAGGTGAGTGATAGAAACAAATCTCATTTTAAGATGCTTGGGACCCAAATTTGGAAAACAGCACTATAAATCTTCAAAATGTAATGAGGTGTCTTCCTTTGGAGCTCTGAATTTAACAAATTTGAGATAGAGTCATGGGTAGCACAAATAAATATCTCAGAAATATAAAATACACATGTAGTTACTAATAAACACTATAATAATGATAATTACTTGGATACCAATGCAGAGATAGTTTTGGGTGGCTTTAACCATCTGTCTGTCTGTTCTCCCTCTGCTACCATCTTCTCCAAAATTAAACTCCCCCTTAATTTTCCAGCTACTAAGTTAATCTCCCTCTTTTCTCACTCTTGATCTCAGTCATGCTTTTTGTTCCCCATTTGATTCTGAACTCACCTCCCTTAAGTTTAAATTCTTGTTCCTGCTACAGCTGACCATAATAAAGAGCTAAAAGTGTTGGAAAAGTCGTGCTCAGATCCAAATGGATAAGGAGACATCACTTGTTAAATTCTAAGTGTTCTCTTCTGAGTCTGTGCAAACAGCAGGTTTTCAATTATAACTTCACTGAATGGAAGCAGATTTTCTTGGGCCCCACAAAGTATTTCTTCCTGTCATCTTTCCCTCTCATGTCTGGACCAGGAAATTCCCTCAAAAATAGCAGTGTAGGCAGGTGATAATCTGGAAAGTTTTGAAATAAACTTTTTGAAGTTGGATGAATAAGAAATTATAGACAAACTTAATCAGAGTTGGTACTACCTACTCCCTGTCTACAAAATACAACAAGCAGTATGTAAGCATGTAATTTTTCTGACCTTGTACATGCCATTCAGCACTTTTCATTACATGATGGCTTCATACAAAAGTTATGTGTGTAATTATACTGTATTACAGTGTTTTAAATTATTAAGAATGATAAAGACTCAAGCCATAAGCCCAAACCTGTACTTGAAAATGCACACTTGAGCCCAGGAAGTGCCTAAGAATAATGAATACTTATCTGGGAAGCAAAGGCTTTAAGAATATCTAAATTATACTGTATGTTTACTAAAACAATGGTGCTATCAAGCCTAACTTTGTTTTTTCCTAATTTTAATCCCATTGCTCCTGGTTATTTCTACAGTTGCTCGTACACACTTGTCACAACTGGAGAAAATGTACACCTACACAGATTTGCTCAATTATATTCCCCCTCAGGCTTATTGACTTGGTCTTTTTTTTTCAGCAGGGTAGACTTTATTGTAATTGCTTATCAGGGTACTGTTCCACATGAGCGAGGTCAGCAGAATTTGGACACTATTTCTGGAATTTCCAAAAAGATTTGGTATCAGAATATTGTTTATTTGTGTTGAATCTATTTTCTTTAAT